TGTTACGATATAACTAACGAGGTCATAATCAGAAGACAATGAAACCGAAACCAAATAGCGCTGAAACAGGAAGTGAAGTAAACAGAAGAGAACGACAAAATAACGGTCCACATAACAGAACATTTAACCTGACAATAAGATCGTTAGGCTATCGTTAGCCTATATGTATAGCAGTTAGCCTAGTTGTAATCTGATTTTCTAATCTGACTGGACAAGAGACTTTCTATTGATGTTTCCTCCTGCGCGCGTTCTAGACGGGCTGTCAGTCAGTGCAGTTACAGTGTTACGCCACAAGGTGGTGGACTACATGTTCAAAAACGCTGATTCATTAATTCATAGAGACGTAATGAAACATGCTGTTGAAATCATTTTAACTTTGAGCGCCACTTTAGAAGGCTCAGCTGACCAGCTATGCATCGATGCTAAGACAGAGATTTTGCTTTCCTTGGACATGACAACCTATTTTCACAAATATGACTCTGCCTGGAGGACAGACGCAAGTAATCGCACGCGCTCAGTCGATCTCTCTCTCATTCACTGTCTGTTTAGGCTTGTTAAGTGCAAATCTACGGAGCCTCTGTACAAATCAGCATGGTACATATTATGTTATCATTACTAACTTGTTTAATATTCAGTCCACATGCATGAACTGTAAAACGAGAAGGGCATAACCTTACGAAAAAATAAAACACGGAAAAATTGCGGTTGCTGCGGTTCTTGCATTCCTCTGCGGTTTGCTCGTCAATAGCGCAGTATTGCGGTTATCGCGACAGCCCTAGTAGCAGCTGCAGAAAAAGACATAATGGCTTCCCAAGAAATCATTGGTTATGCTGATGTCACACTGCTGGTTTTACACGCTGTGTCAATGATTCTGATGAAACAGAAAACTTCACATCTGTCTACTGCTCGCTGGCTAAGATACCACACTGTAAACGCTGCTCTCTGTTGAACATTACCACTCTGTTACCAAAAGAGGGGCAGGAGGAAGAACTTTGCTGTGTAACTGTGCTTGAAGCTGTTTGCAAGCTGTGGCCAGACCTCAGAGAGACCCCCTTTGACAATGCTGACATGATACTTTTTGTTGAGGGGTAAGCCTCTAGAGACCCTGAGACAGGCAAAACAAGGTTGGCTATACTGTAACTACGGAACATGATGTGCTTTTGTCGGGGTCATTGCAGTCTCACTATTCAGCCCAAGAGGCTAAACTAGTGGCATTAACAAAGGCTTGCAAATAACTGCCTAATGATTTAACTTTCTGAATCTATTTCAGATGTGCAGACCTTTGCAACAATGGAGGAGAAGAAGCCATGGAGAAAAAAATGTGTATACATCACCAAATGATGATGTATATACAGGTGCTCAAAAATGATGATGATGATTTCCCAGATTTAGTCCCTATTCCACCATGGGTGACTAAACCCCCAAGATTTAGTACTAGTTCAAGTTCATCAGATAATGACAAAAAAAACAATTGTGTAAGAACGATATATGGAAAAGCTCCCCTCAGTTTGCTAGTGTAAAGATGTAAATGCATTTCCCGTTAATGATGGTATGTTTTGAATCCTGGTATATTAACATGCTAGATGTCCTGATGGTTGTATATCCTGAATGATTAAAGAATAATCAAAAGGACGGTGTGTTATGGAAATTTTAATACTTGAGCTAAAAGCATCCTGATGCTCATTTGTGACCCTGGACCACAAAAACAGTCATAAGTAGCAAGGGTATATTTGTAACAATAGCCAACAATACATTGTATGGGTCAAAATTGTCGATTTTTTTTTTATTGCCAAAAATCATTAGGATATTAAGTAAAGATCATGTTCCATGAAGATATTTTGTAAATTTCCTACCGTAAATATATCAAAACTTCATTTTTGATTAGTAATATGCATTGCTAAGGACTTCCTTTGTACAACTTTAAAGGTGATTTTCTCAATATTTTGATTTTTTTGCACCCTCAGATTCTGGATTTTCAAATAGTTGTATCTCGGCCAAATATTGTCCTATCATAACAAACCATACATCAATGTAAATCCTATGATGTAAAAATCTCAATTTAAAAAAATTGACCCTCATGACTGATTATGTGGTCCAGGGTCACATTTTTTTATGCTCATGTTGAAATGGTGCGAGACAAGTGCGAAACGAGAAATGTTGTTTTCTTTTACAACACCCTACACCCTAACTTCGAAGAGGATGCTTTGCATTAAATACTTAATCAACCCTAGTCTGAGGGAAAATAGATACCCTAAAAGGAGACATATGTTGAGTATACATTATGATTGGATGAGATAGAAACATCCTGGTTTGATTGGGATATAAATACTGAGTCGAAGTGTTCCTCTTTGTCACACACTGTGCAGATGCTCTGTATGATTGTCTGACTTTCTTGCAAGAATAAACCCTGTTTTTTCTTATTCTACAATACTCTCTGAGTTATAGCCTCACAATAAGAATTGGAAACATTTTTCCATAACAAGGTGAGTAAATCTTCAGCGAATTTTCATTTTAGGTGAACTGTTGCATTAAACTGGTTAAGAGATACTTAGCCAAATCATTATAAATAATTACTTTTATCATGTCTAATAATGTCAAGTTTACCATTAGTGTAATAAATCATAAACTATCGGATACAAACTCGTATCATTGCAGACTAAGCTCTTTTGTTCTATAAATTGGTTAATACACAATGCACTGATGTTCTGAAGAGAGCGTCTCAGAGTGAAGTTCTCATGGCGTCTCTACATGCATTGCTGATTCTGTGCGTATGTGCCACAGCCCTGAGTTTGGTGAGTGTAGAATTCAGATATTATAGAAACAAAAATGTTGTGATCATGTGTTGATTAATATTGTGCTAAAGCAAAACTAACACAGCTATTGTTATATTAAAATACAATGACCTTGTTCAAGACTGGATGAGTTTTATGATAGTTTGTGGTTATTTCATACAATATCAAAGCTTGCATTGTAGGTTGTTGTTGTAAATTGATACCTTTGACACTTATCTCTCAAATGTTTTCTTTCAAAGCCAACATCTTCACTCACAGGTGAGTCATAACAATCACATCTTTTTTTATATAAAAATATATTCAATAATCACAACTGTTTATTTTATTTCTATTTATATAATATGTTCTGAATTTAACGTTTTTTGTAGGCAGTACAGAGATTGATGTGGATAATGGAAAAGACCAGGATATATTTGAAATAAATGAAGGTTTGTGGAAACATTAATATCATATCTTAAATCTGTAGCATCATTTCTATAACAGTTTTCCATTAACTGCTGTCTCATTCAACAGCGGCAGGACTTGACCTGGTGGAAGGAGACATTCTGATAAATGAGGTCATTGTTTTCTTAGAGCAAATTCTCATGCCACTTTCCACAAACAGGATACAAAGTAGGGCCTGAATCTCCGGGCCTGAAAAATAATAAAATAATTTTTTAGGACATTCTTAATCTTCAGAAAATTTCAACATTAACCTCATGAGGTCAAACTAATGTGTAAATACAGTAAGATACACTAAACAACACACAAAACAAAATAATTTTTTTTTATTTAAATAAAATAAATCCATGTTTGGTTCATATTTAACAGGGAGAAGACCGAAACACTATTCTGGGTGAAAAGTATCGTTGGCCGACCACTGTACCGTACGTCCTAGACAGCAGCCTTGGTCTGTGAATATATAATAATAACTGATTCAATTCCGTTGAATTTATGTTTTGACCTGTATCTGATATTCTAACTCTAACTTCATATTTGCTCCAAATTACTCACTCACTGTCCTCTCTTTTTTCTGTCTTTCTTTTCTGTTCTGTTTTTTTATATATAGACATCAATGCTAAAGGTGTGATACTGAAAGCATTTGAGCAATTCAGACTCAAGACCTGTATTGACTTTAAACCCTGGGGTAGAGAGCCAAACTACATTTTCATATTTAAAGGCGATGGGTAAGAAAACTTCAAAACACTACACACATTTAAACTCATCTTCACACATTGTGCAATAATCAAAATTCTATTCACATTTATGTCAATGGATGCCACTTTTTTTTTAAAACAAAAACCTACCAAATGATTTGTAATCTTATTTTTAAAGTCCCTATGAAATCAAAATTGAAGTTTTTTTTGTTTTTTAGTATGAATATGTTATCTATAAGCTATAGTGTGCTCCAAAACAATGACACAATTTGCATTTAGAAGATATAATAATTCAAAACTTACAGACTGTAACTTCCGTAAAAATGGATCAACGATTTTTTAGCTTCTCATCAAACTTTCTGTCCAATCAAATGCTTTCTAGAATCGGAAGTGCCCCGCCCCCTAGGCTACGCTCTAAAAAATGCTGGGTTAAAATCAACCCAACCTGGGTTATTTGGCAACCCAGCGCTGGGTAAATATTGGACAGAAAACCAATATTTAGTTATTTTGACCCAGCTGGTTAAACAAAAACCTACCAAATTATTTGTAATCTTATTTTTAAAGTCCCTATGAAATCAAAATTGAAGTTTTTTTGTTTTTTAGTATGAATATGTTATCTATAAGCTATAGTGTGCTCCAAAACAATGACACAATTTGCATTTAGAAGATATAATAATTCAAAACTTACAGACTCTAACTTCCGTAAAAATGGATCAACGATTTTTTAGCTTCTCATCAAACTTTCTGTCCAATCAAATGCTTTCTAGAATCGGAAGTGCCCCGCCCCCTAGGCTACGCTCTAAAAAATGCTGGGTTAAAATCAACCCAACCTGGGTTATTTGGCAACCCAGCGCTGGGTAAATATTGGACAGAAAACCAATATTTAGTTATTTTGACCCAGCTGGTTGGGTTAAATGTTTTTTACCAAACATACCGGGTTATTTTATTTAAGTCAACTATTGTTTAAAAATTATTATATTGCTGGCTTAAAATGGGCTGGAAATTAAAAATCACACTCAGAATTACTATAGGCAACAGCAATAATCAAAAGATGAACATTTATTGTTAAGCAGGAACACATGGACAAAATACAAGACAAATTGAATTTATTTGGGTGAATACAGCATAGTTTACAATATTATATACATTTAAATTTAAACAAGCATTTTAGACATAAAAAGTAACATTTAAAAGTAGCATTTTAATTTAAGTGTATTCAACCGTTCTCTGTAATCGCTTTTTACAGAAATAGTACTAATTCTCGTGCCGGTATGCCGGCGAAATCTGATCTGGTGAAGGGCTACTGTTCGCGGGGGAGCTGCGAGCTCCAAAACCTGCCCATAAACTAGCAGTAGGCCTACTGAGATTAAAGAACATAGTCTATTGAAGTCAACTATTGTTTAAAAATTATTATATTGCTGGCTTAAAATGGGCTGGAAATTAAAAATCACACTCAGAATTACTATAGGCAACAGCAATAATCAAAAGATTAACATTTATTGTTAAGCAGGAACACATGGACAAAATACAAGACAAATTGAATTTATTTGGGTGAATACAGCATAGTTTACAATATTATATACATTTAAATTTAAACAAGCATTTTAGACATAAAAAGTAACATTTAAAAGTAGCATTTTAATTTAAGTGTATTCAACCGTTCTCTGTAATCGCTTTTTACAGAAATAGTACTAATTCTCGTGCCGGTATGCCGGCGAAATCTGATCTGGTGAAGGGCTACTGTTCGCGGGGGAGCTGCGAGCTCCAAAACCTGCCCATAAACTAGCAGTAGGCCTACTGAGATTAAAGAACATATTTTAACGTCAAATTAAATTACACTCATTATTATAACTAATCAAATCTATTTATTTTATGCAAGGCAAAAGGCGTTTCCATCATGTGAAGTGATCTGTAGTAGTAGTAGTGGTTGTAATGAAGATTCAATGACGTTGGGATCCATGTGCAGCTTTATTAACAAACAGTACGAGGAGTCAAACAGGCAAAGTTAAATCAACAGTATTCAAGGGCAATATAGGCAAGGCAGAATCATAACCGGAGTCCGTGCAAAGGGTCGAGGCAGGCGGCAGACAGAGAATAGAACAAATCCAATAGACAGACAAGGTTAAAGAGGCAGGCAGAGAACAATCAGACGGGTATAAACAGACTTCACACAGAGGTTAGGGTAGGCACTGATTAAATAGTAAGGATAATGATCAGCACCTGCACAGGTAATCAGTCTCAGGTACGGGGTGATGGGAATTGAAGTCCGCAAGAACAGTTAGTACTCCGGTGACGGTTTCCTCTGGTGGTGATCAGAGGGAACCACAGAGGCTTGATTCGTGACAGTGGTATTACATCAATTTTACAACCAAACAAGGTACATAATCACATTCCAAAATATAACCAATCTTGTTCAGCCTAGTTTGAGCACTACCAAAAATAAAATGTAAATTAAATAGTCAAAATAAAATAAGCCAACCACAAATAAAATGAATCAAAAAGAAATTGAAATACAACAAAAGTTTTTGATAAATTAATTTATACAAATCCAAGAGAGAAGTCAACTTAAGGGCTTTCTTGTTTTTAACAAATTTTAAAAATGTGTATAAGAGTTTTACCTCATTCCACCATTTGATAAAGTTGGGTTTAGATTTAAACCATCTGCACTTGCGAATAAAAAAACTTCATAAAACATTACAAGAAATTAATAACAAATTCAAACTCTTTGTTTTCAAGACAAATACCAAACCTGATACCTTCACATTGAGGGGTGGAAATGTAACATTCCTTGAACATAACCAGTTTTGCACCTCTCTTCACAAAGGCTGCACCATATCACACAAAAAGAAAAACATGGTCTAAAGTTTCAGTACTTGTTTCACAAAAAACACAATTATTTACATCAAAATTAAATTTCCGTCTTAAAAATTAGTTGGTAGAATAAATCTCATTTAGAATCTTGAAGCTAACCTCTTTAGCTTTAGGAGGGAAGGGGGAAAGACAGATATTATTTTCCAACCATATCGAAATCTTTAGGCACGCATTCCAGTCTAACTGGGTTAGGGTAAGCCTGTAAACTAAAATTTTGAATAAGTATATTTGTACATTTTTTCTAACAAAAATTATGACCTTCTATGGAAAGCTGCCTCAATTCTGGGGAAACCTGGAAGTTCAATGTATCTTACTTGACCATTAATCTTAAAGCAACTGGAATGGCTATAATCATTCTATTATAAATATTAACAGTACACTGCAGTTGGAATTTCAATAGCTCAAATCCCTTTGGATTTTCAATCCTCGAGAGAGAAAAAAGAAAAAGAAAAGACTTTCGTCCTAACTTTATGTATCTATTATTCCAAACTGGAGTATTGTGAGGTGTGAAGTTATTCTTGAACAATAGTTTTCAATAAAGCAGCACTTGCTAATAGAAGTTTCACTGAACACTCAAAATCACAACATAGAAAGAAACGTATTCCATCCACGTTTTTAAAGATTGCACAGGGGACAATAAACCAAAAAGAGTGGTTATTACGAATTAATGATTTTCATACTTTTTAATCATGTTATCCTTTTTTATGTACTGACATTTATTTCTCCAAATAAATTTACATTTGTCTTATTTATTGCTTTAATATTTCATGTTGATATGGATAAGGAGAAGGCTGGGTATACGAGTATGGACAAACTATCCATTTTAGACAAAATAACTTATAACTTATAACAAAATAACCAAAGATTTTAAGATCCCTCTGCAGCCATTGATTTAATATTGATTTACATTTATCTATGAAAATTAATATGCCATGTTATTGTTTGCCTATCCAACACAATATCATTATTATTTTTTAATCAATATAGATAATAGCTCTGCAACCATTATAAACAGTCATAGAGAGCTACCACAACCTTCATGAATTCCCCTTATAGTTGGGGAATATTTTGCAGGTTCCATGACCTAGAGCTAATTGATACCATTATATAACATTTCAATTCAATTTTTAAATCTTACTCCAAAACCAAAATGCTTTAAAAAAAAAAAAAAAAAAAAAAAAAAGGATGCTCAACAGCATCAAATGCTTTATAGTAATCTAAAAAAAAATTAAATCCAACTCACCACAATCAAGTAAATCTAATCTAACATTATGGATTGACAAATTATCTAATATCTTCATCTTTTTTCTCTTCTATGCCTTTGATATGGAGGCACCACCTCATTCTATATCTTTCCTGTTCTCTAACCCTCTCCTTAAGATCACGATTCTTGCGAAGTCCTTAACTCTTTTTTTGCACTCATTCACCTCTTCCGTGTTGAACTGAATCGCCTTCATTAGGCTTACAATCATGGCGCTGCTTTGTTTGGATTTTTCACTTAAATCCACCAGCTTCTCATGCACCCTCCTTTCCAGATTTAATATCGCCTCCAAAATGGTTTCATTAGCCATCTCCGCATTCTCTTTTATTTTGCTCCACTACTTTTGCTTCATCTTTCTTTTCAACATTGGGCAAGGAATCTTTCCCTTTGGGGTCTAGTTTTAGCTTGGCAGGTTCAATCAGTTTTTGTGAAGACATCTTGATGAACAACAGTGGGAATTACTTACTTCAAGCAAACGTTTGGGAACAACTGTCACAAGCTTTGAAAAAAAATCAACTGCTTAACTCACCATCTTCACACGGCCCTGTTCACATAGTAGTTTCTGTATGGTGGATGGCATGTAGTGCACTATATAGGATATAGGGAACAATTCAAACAGCGTACATATTATTCTATGAGTTGACGTAATTTTAGCTGAAACGGGAAGACAGGAATACATAGCGAGAAGCCTATGAAGCCTCCTTTTGAAATAGCCAGTAGCCTTTTGTTTATATCACAGCTTGGGTCAGAGCTGTTGAGTTCAGTAAAGGCACATTTGACAGCTTATGACAGCCACAGTCTAATAGATTTCCCATTTAGTTTCAATTTGAGACTGTTACTAAAGCAAAGCAGTGACTATAATGATGCTGAGGATGTGTAGTTTGAAAATTGTGACATTTCAAGGCACTGCAGTGGATCTTTAATCACTTAAATTTATTAAAGAATATTTTAGGCAAATAAGCATGTTAGACCTTTTCAAGCATGTGCAAACATTGGGACTTTTATTGCACTGACTGTATATTTTTGCAAAAAGGAGAAATTCAGGTATGATGAAAAGGTCATGTTTTTATGTTCAATCAGATGTTACTCAAAGGTGGGGAATCGACAGATTGGGAAACAAGAGTTGTCAATTGGTGCAAAATGTGACAGTTTAGGAACAGTGGAGCACGAGTTTCTGCATGCGCTGGGTTTCTGGCACGAGCAGTCCAGATCTGACAGAGACGACTATGTCACCATCATGTGGGACCAGATTCAAGAGGGTAACTATTGAATTCTTAAATACTCGGATCAATAATAACATCATTCTGTCTTGCCAAACTCATAAAATCTATATATTCCCATATTAAATACAAACTAATTTGTTCATTAACTGTTTCGCCATTTGTTTCTTACTTAGATGATAAGCACAACTTTAATTCATATGATGAAACTGTGTCAAGCTCTCTCGGTGTGCCCTATGATTATGGTTCAGTCATGCACTACAGTAAAACATCCTTCAGCAAAGGCAGTAAGCCAACCATTGTTACCAAAATACCAGAATTCTTGGATGTGATTGGTCAACGCATGGAGTTTAATGACAGTGACCTGCTAAAGCTGAACCGGCTATACAACTGTAGTAAGTTTATGATTAGTGCACTTTCTGTGGAAGACTCGACTGAATAATCCTCCATTATTTTTTGTATAAATATATTGACATTAATCTGACTGATAAGATAAAGACTACTTGCTCAACTAATACTTTGCTTCTCTCACTCATCTTGCCCTAAATATTTTTCATAATTCTTCCAGCTACAGCCTCAACTTTTCTGGACTCTTGCCACTTTGAGGAGCCAAATATCTGTGGTATGATCCAGGGTGATGGTGGAAATGCCAAGTGGGCTCGTGTACAAATGGTAGAGGGCGGTCCACAGACGGATTACACCAACCTGGGTCAATGTCAAGGTATGAACACCCCTAACCAGAAAAGCAGGATTCATCCTAATTTTGCATTTATTTACAAAGAAAACCATTTTTGAGCCACATGATCACTAGCAATAAAGCTTCATGCAAATGAGATAAGTGAATTTCGCATTCCAGGAGATCTATAGTTTTTTTGTATACTTAGTCAAAAGTCCAAGCGGCAACTATAGTTACCGGTGGGCAAATGACTTGTAAGTACATATCATGGGGAAATGGGGTATATTCCAGTTTTCAATTGACAGCAGCAGTTTACAAACTTCAGTCAGTCACACAAAAGGAAGAATGGAAAGATAAAGAGGTAACGCATTATGCTGTAGATAATTGTTTCTCACTTTTATGACATTATGTCTTGTAAGGGGCAAAATATTGAGGCCCCTTTATCCAGTTTGGATGCGTTTCATTCTAATTGGTCAAGGACCCTAATTCATTTTATGACTAGTAGCTTATGATTCCATTATAATGTTGAAATTCAGACAAGTAATGAGTTTACATTTACAGTATTATATGAAATCACCTACTACAGTCAGCCATTGAATACTATGGGCCTTAAAAAATGTGCAGAAAATTTCTTTCAGGTATGCTTTTTTTTATTATATATTTTTGTAATATTTTCTTCATTCAATTTATTTTAATTTAAATAACACACCTCTAAGAATGAAAATACCTGCACTTTCAATAATAAGTAAATAAATAAACAAAATATATAAACAAATAAATATAATATACTATAATAACAAATATAACATAAATAAATAAAATATTTAAATAATCATATATTTAAAAATAATATAATTAATTTCATGAATAAAGGACTTTTGTCAGGGTTAATCCATTTGACCTAATCAATATGTGCCTATTCATAAAATATGATATTTTACATATTTACATCACATGCAAATATGTTTATGTAAATTTATAAAACGACTAGTACCTTCAATGCAGTACTCCTTGTAGGCTACTTATACTAAAACTGCTTACGTAAGGGAAAGTTCACCCAAAAATGGAAATTGTGTCATGTAATCACCCTCAAGTTGCAAACCTATGAGATTCTTTCTTCTGTTGAGCACAAAAGAAGATATTTTGCAGAATGTTGGTAACCAAACAGTTAAATTCAAAATTTTCTTTCAGGTATACCTTTTTTATTGTATAGATGTAATATTTTCTTCATTCTATTTATTTTTATTTATTTATTTTCATTTAACTTTTTGATACACAATACCCTGTTGGGGCAACTTAATGGCTGCACTTTGTTCTGCACTATGTTCCTCCACTTTAATCCAAATAAAATTGGTGTGTTATCATATTCAAGAGATTATAAGCTAGATGCAACTTTTTTGGGGTTTGCATTGAATGTTCTTCGACTTTTATGCATGATAAATTTGTTTATGAATAAAGATTGATCTGTTGAAAGCAGTTATTTTGAGTTAGAAGCCAAAAGTTCTCCTCCTATTCAAATTTGACATTGAAGGGGTGCATACAACATATTTTCCCACGGGCAACTATAGTTGCCGCACATTCAAATATGATTTTCAAGAAAAAACAAACAAAAAAAAAAAACTAAAACCTGGGCGAAAAAAAATGCTGAACATGTTCACATAGGACACTATTAATATGACTATATGCATGAAACCGTTCAAAAAAATTTGGGCACAAATGGGTTAAATGGGTTGGTGTCACAAAAAGTTGAATAATTCATAGTCCATAATCCTGCACTGATACCTCTTTTATGATGGTGGCACTTTGGTCTTCATGATAAACACATTTTACTGATACCATAAGAAAGTATTATTTGACGTTCTCTAGACATTTCTTGTCAAGGATTGCAATATGACATGTAAAATCATCTTTAAACTCCATTATAAGGACCAAAGAGAAAGTGAAGAGGCTTGCTTAATGGTCTATTATCTAATAAAGTTTATACTTCCACAGGAGTTGGGTTCTTCATGCATTTCAGCACAGCCACAGGAACCCAGGGTGACAAGGCTTACCTGCAAAGTCGCCTCTTTCACCCCAAAAGACGCTCCCAATGCCTGCAGTTCTATCACTACAACAGCGGGGGCGTTGATGACCAGCTAAAAATCTGGGTGCGTGAATACACCGCTGAAAACCCTAAAGGAGCCCTGAGACTCATTCAGAAGATCAGTGGTAATAATTATTTATGGTTTAAAACACCAATAGATAAATCCTTTTAGCCTATGGGTAACTTATACTTGTACAACCTAGGTGGACTTCAAGGCTCCTGGGAACTATACCATGTTACGCTAGATGTCTCTGATAAATTCAGAGTGGTGTTTGAAGGAGTTAAAGGAAGAAAACCATCAAAGAGTGGTCTGTCTCTGGATGACATCAACCTCTCAGAGACCAAGTGTCCTCAATACACTTGGCGCATTCGTAATTTTACCAGCCTTCTCGCTACAACCCCTGCCGGTTCCAAAACCTACAGCCCTCGCTTCCTATCCCCAGATGGTTACTCATTTCAGATTGGCTTGTACATTAATGGCTTGAAGGATAGTCCAAATAAAATGGCAATCTACTTCCACTTGACCTCTGGACCCAACGATGACAATCTCCAATGGCCATGTCCGTGGCGTCAGGCATCCATGGAGCTGATGGACCAGAATCCAGACATCCAACATCGCATGAACAACATTAGGATGATCACTACAGATCCAACCAAGACCTCCACTGACTGTAAGACACAAAGTTATAGATATTAGTCATTTTTATGAGCCATTAATGCTGATGTGCTAAGTACAGATACTTGGTTACAGATTATTTAGAGATAAGTCTACAAAACGTGACCTGTGCTGGCAAAATGAGTCAGAATGAAAAAAAAAAAAGTGAAAAAAATAAAAATGTAGATTTTAGTCAGATTTGGGGTTTTCACAAAAAGGAGTTCATTAAGCCCTTGTCTAGCGATCCCAATGCTCCAAATAGTAATTAAGCATCTAAAATAATCTTTATTTTTTTTTTTAGAGGGGTCCTTTTCTCCACTCGCTTCTCGCACTGACTGTCATCCGTAGCACCTGCATAAAAGGCATTTCCGGCAGCGCGCGATCCCGATAAATATACACAGAATTACAGCAGAGATTGTCCTACTGTAGGGAGATGAGAGGGTCTGTATTACTTACTATTGGAGAAAGCGTAATGGCTAACTTGGATTACGTGTCCCCTAATAACCAACCACACTACAGCCTTGATGTCATTGAATTTCAGTCAGAGTTGCACGACACTCAATCGCCGTTTACGGATACCATAGGAATGAATAGGAAGTGCCGTAAGCTGAATGCCAGCTGTCGCAAAAAGTCAGTAGCTGCGTCTCATTTAGAAGGCTGCACCCTCCGGAGGTCGCATTCGAAGGCTGCATACGTCATCGAGGCTGTCTCATTTCAGAAAAGCAAGTAGGACACTCCGAATGCGACCTTCTTTCACAGGAATTCGGAGGATGCATGAGGTGTATCCTTCGCTGCTACAGATAACCCACAATTCTTTGCGGCGCCGTGAACAACCGTTGTTAATTTGAAAAATGTCAGCGCAGGCAGATGTAACGTACACACCAGCGCAGATGTGGGGTTTACAACTTCCCTTAATTCGCCTCGGTAAAAACAGATAAACTTTGTTTTTAATATCCTCCATTTTTTCCTCTAATAGATGCCTGCTGTAGGTACGCTGCAGCTCCTCAAACATTGAACAAAATAAAACAAGTAAAAGCATTTTTTTTCAAATTACTTTCCAAATTTAGAAATTATTTTCCTTCATTTAAGTAGTGTGAGAGCGCAAGGATGTGTTGGCATAGCAAAGTGATACTTCCTTTCCGCCTGTCCTACGAAGGCCGTCTCGTTTAATTCTAGGTCTAAAAATGGTTCAATCCAAAAGTATTGTTTAGTGTAAAACATGTTGAAGATTAGCAGATAAGCCGTTTCCTTTAGACAGCTGTTTATTCTACGTAGTGAAGCCCCTGCTCCATTGACATCCATTTATTAAAAAAAAAAAAAAGCCTCTGGTCTCTTTTCCCCACGTACTGCCAGACTGGAAACGTTAGCCGTTCCGCTTTTTTTTTTTTGTTAATGGTTGCAGGCTTGCTTTCTAGTGGCTTTGATTACAGTATTAAAGTGTTCACGCAAACATAATCTGTTAGGTCTTAAGTTCCTTAACGTTTATGGAACTGCTGGTGAAAAACGGCTGATGTGTAAAATTACATTAAATCCATGCATTACAGTAGGTCTTAAAGGGATAGTTCACTCAAATGAAAATCAGCCCATTATTTACTCAAGCCATCCTAGGCGTATATGACTTCCTTCTTTCAGATGAATCCAATCGGCGTTATATTAAATTGTCTTTGATCTTCCAAGCTGTTTAATGGCAGTCAGCAGGTGTTGCAGTTCATTAGTCCAAAAGTGTAATAAAGCACATCCAGCCATAAAAGTGCCTCACACTGTCACGGTTTGTCAAGGGAGGACCTAAATGCAGAATGGACAGCGGAAACATTAGAGCACGAGGCAGGAAGACAGTCCACACAATAAGGCAGGGCACACAACTGGAGAACAGGCTGGTCCGGGATGAGGGGATGAGGGTACTCCGTGGCAAAAGGGGACTAGGTAGCAGCTCAAGGAACCACAGGCTTGGCAACTCTTGAAGCACCAAACTGTCTGCCAGGTCAGAAGAATCAGCGACCAGGGAGGACTCAGGAAGCCGGGCAGGAACCAACTCGACAGACACACTGAAAGACAAGACAACAGGAGAGACAAGAGATACACAGATCAAAAGTAGAAACCTGCAAAACTGACTATAGGGAAATAAAACTGAAAGGAAAAAAAAAAAATGACAATCTCCAATGGCCATGTCCATGGCGTCAGGCATCCATGGAGCTGATGGACCAGAATCCAGACATCCAACATCGCATGAACAACATTAGGATGATCACTACAGATCCAACCAAGACCTCCACTGACTGTAAGACACAAAGTTATAGATATTAGTCATTTTTATGAGCCATTAATGCTGATGTGCTAAGTACAGATACTTGGTTACAGATTATTTAGAGATAAGTCTACAAAACGTGACCTGTGCTGGCAAAATGAGTCAGAATGAAAAAAAAAAAAGTGAAAAAAATAAAAATGTAGATTTTAGTCAGATTTGGGGTTTTCACAAAAAGGAGTTCATTAAGCCCTTGTCTAGCGATCCCAATGCTCCAAATAGTAATTAAGCATCTAAAATAATCTTTATTTTTTTTTTTAGAGGGGTCCTTTTCTCCACTCGCTTCTCGCACTGACTGTCATCCGTAGCACCTGCATAAAAGGCATTTCCGGCAGCGCGCGATCCCGATAAATATACACAGAATTACAGCAGAGATTGTCCTACTGTAGGGAGATGAGAGGGTCTGTATTACTTACTATTGGAGAAAGCGTAATGGCTAACTTGGATTACGTGTCCCCTAATAACCAACCACACTACAGCCTTGATGTCATTGAATTTCAGTCAGAGTTGCACGACACTCAATCGCCGTTTACGGATACCATAGGAATGAATAGGAAGTGCCGTAAGCTGAATGCCAGCTGTCGCAAAAAGTCAGTAGCTGCGTCTCATTTAGAAGGCTGCACCCTCCGGAGGTCGCATTCGAAGGCTGCATACGTCATCGATGCTGTCTCATTTCAGAAAAGCAAGTAGGACACTCCGAATGCGACCTTCTTTCACAGGAATTCGGAGGATGCATGAGGTGTATCCTTCGCTGCTACAGATAACCCACAATTCTTTGCGGCGCCGTGAACAACCGTTGTTAATTTGAAAAATGTCAGCGCAGGCAGATGTAACGTACACACCAGCGCAGATGTGGGGTTTACAACTTCCCTTAATTCGCCTCGGTAAAAACAGATAAACTTTGTTTTTAATATCCTCCTTTTTTTCCTCTAATAGATGCCTGCTGTAGGTACGCTGCAGCTCCTCAAACATTGAACAAAATAAAACAAGTAAAAGCATTTTTTTTCAAATTACTTTCCAAATTTAGAAATTATTTTCCTTCATTTAAGTAGTGTGAGAGCGCAAGGATGTGTTGGCATAGCAAAGTGATACTTCCTTTCCGCCTGTCCTACGAAGGCCGTCTCGTTTAATTCTAGGTCTAAAAATGGTTCAATCCAAAAGTATTGTTTAGTGTAAAACATGTTGAAGATTAGCAGATAAGCCGTTTCCTTTAGACAGCTGTTTATTCTACGTAGTGAAGCCCCTGCTCCATTGACATCCATTTATTAAAAAAAAAAAAAAAGCCTCTGGTCTCTTTTCCCCACGTACTGCCAGACTGGAAACGTTAGCCGTTCCGCTTTTTTTTTTTTGTTAATGGTTGCAGGCTTGCTTTCTAGTGGCTTTGATTACAGTATTAAAGTGTTCACGCAAACATAATCTGTTAGGTCTTAAGTTCCTTAACGTTTATGGAACTGCTGGTGAAAAACGGCTGATGTGTAAAATTACATTAAATCCATGCATTACAGTAGGTCTTAAAGGGATAGTTCACTCAAATGAAAATCAGCCCATTATTTACTCAAGCCATCCTAGGCGTATATGACTTCCTTCTTTCAGATGAATCCAATCGGCGTTATATTAAATTGTCTTTGATCTTCCAAGCTGTTTAATGGCAGTCAGCAGGTGTTGCAGTTCATTAGTCCAAAAGTGTAATAAAGCACATCCAGCCATAAAAGTGCCTCACACTGTCACGGTTTGTCAAGGGAGGACCTAAATGCAGAATGGACAGCGGAAACAGTTTATTAACAAAATTAGAGCACAAAAGGATGAGGCAGGAAGACAGTCCACACAATAAGGCAGGGCACACAACTGGAGAACAGGCTGGTCCGGGATGAGGGTAGCTCCAGACTCCGTGGCAAAAGGGGACTAGGTAGCAGCTCAAGGAACCACAGGCTTGGCAACTCTTGAAGCACCAAACTGTCTGCCAGGTCAGAAGAATCAGCGACCAGGGAGGACTCAGGAAGCCGGGCAGGAACCAACTCGACAGACACACTGAAAGACAAGACAACAGGAGAGACAAGAGATACACAGATCAAAAGTAGAAACCTGCAAAACTGACTATAGGGAAATAAAACTGAAAGGAAAAAAAAAAACATAAAATAAGTACTAGAAAAAAAAAAAAGGAGGAACTTCTGAAACCAAAAGGAAAAAGCTAGGGAAAAATTACTCCAACTACAAACAAAATATAAAGATAGATACCTTGCTAAAAACTAGAAAAAAAAAAAAAAAAGGTTCAGGAACTAAAACAAAAGAATTAAACCACTAGGACTGTAACTAGACTGTAGACTAAACACAGGAACAAAAATCTAGAACTAACAAGAGGGGAAACTAAACTGGATGCAATATACTGAATGGTATGCGCTAACAAGGCTAAAGACAATAACACAGCGAATGCACACACAAAACAAACCAGCAAAGACTAGAGGGAAATGAGCACAATATCAAGGGATCAGAGCACACGAGGATCAGGTGAACACAATTGGACAAACAAGGACTAAACAAGGGGGCGTGGTGATTGAAAATGAGGAGGCAGGACAAGAGCACATGGCCAACACAAACAAAGACACAGCCATGTGCTCAGGCACAAAATAAACAAAGATACATTAAACAAAGACAGGACAGACAAGACTGTCAGGGCAGGATCCTGACACACACGGCTGACTCTTTCGACTTCAAAAGGGTGTAGCTCAGTCATTTTCATCTG